CTTACATTAAAAAAGTGTACAGAATTAAATTCTCTGCTACTGACTCAAAATTATATGTAGGTCCAAACTAAAATTCCACGACCTGGTTTGGCTCGGCATCCTCGACATCGGGCTCATTTTTTTAAAGTTTGGAGATTCGGAAAAAACTGAATTTAGCGTTTTGCCAACTTTTCCATTTTTTGCTACTCCTGTCATTAGAAAGCATTAACCTCATAATACGTGACTATTCCGACGTAATGTTCCCCAAAGGAGTCAAAAATGACCTCCAAATTGCGATATATACTAAGTGACATATAAATCCGAACACCCAGTTTAAATGGTTTTATTTTAATAAAATTTTATATAAGTACTTAATGAAGCATAATAAGTAAATGATAAAAATTTCAAAATGATTGCACTGCTTTAAAGCCCTTTGACCTTTAATAATGTGTGGATGCACCCTGATGTGCTACGCATTCTCCAACGCGCCTAGGCATGCGTCTGATCAGGTGGTCAATGTCCTCCTGTGGTATCTCATTCCAGGCAACCACCAACTCCTCTCGAAGTGCTTCTAGAGTCTGATGAGGACGTTGCAAATTGAGCAATCTCCTACCCATCATATCCCACACGTGCTCAATTGGGGATAAGTCGGGAGATCTTGGTGGCCATGGTAACAATGTGACATCATTATGTTGAAAGAAGTCTATTGTGACTCTTGCAACATGTGGTCGGGCATTATCTTGTTGGAAAGTTGGATCTGCCATGGTGTCAAGATAGGGTAAAAGATGGGGTTCTAGAACTTCGTGGATATAACGCCGCGCGTTCATGTTACCTCTGATGAAGATTAAAGGTGACCTGGAACCATAAGCTATAGCACCCCAAACCATAACTCCAACAGTGTGATGAACATGTCTTTCAACAAAAAATTGTGGATTCCTCCTTTCACCGCGTCGCCTTCTAACCCTGGCACGACCATCGTGCTTGCCTAAACAAAATCGAGACTCGTCACGAAAGACAATACTGTTCCATTCCTGATCCCAGAGGGACCGTTGTCTGCACCACTCAAGGCGATTACGTCGGTGTTCTCGAGTTAAAGGGAGGACCCAGTGTGGCCGGTATGAAAACAAGCCAAAACTTCTCATTCGTCGGTAAACACTTCGCATGTCAATAGGTCTTCCGTGTTCTGCAAACCATTCATTTGCAATGGATCTGGTAGTGGAGAAACGGTCCCTTAAGGCCAATAATCTTAGGCGGCGATCTTCACGGTCTGTTGTTCTACGGCGGCGTCCAGTGCCCCTTGCTCTTTGCGTACGGCCTTCTCGAAGCCATGCCTGACAACACCTAACCACAGTGTCTACACTTCTTTGCACTCTAACTGCAATTGCCCGAAAAGAAAGTCCAGCTTCCCGAAGTCCCACTATACGGCCCCTATCAAACTCACTAAGTTGACGAAATCGTACAGGTCTCCATACTCTAGGCATCGTAACCGATCGTAAAGGATGTCAAGAACCAAAATCCGCCAACGTTGATTCTTTACTGCGGCTGAAATATCCACTTTTAAAGCGTTAGTGAATTAAGAAAAAGCAGTATAAAAACCGGAATGTCCAACTGATAAGGCTGAAAATTTTTTCACTTGTTATTTACAGTAAGATAAATACATTCACCAACTTTTATTAAAATAAAACCATTTAATCTGGGTGTTCGGATTTATATGTCACTTAGTATATTTCGTTGCGCAAATATTTCAGTCAAAAATGATTTTTTGAAATTTTTTACTCGTTTATAGGTTAGAATGACTTCCGAAACAAAAAATGCACAAAATTGTTTTTTTTGTGTAAGGGTGATGAAGCAGCCTATCAGTGGCGTAGTACCTTGGGCGGCACCCTGTGCGGAAGTTGGTGACGTCATTCCATCGAAAGTCAAAAGCAATAAATTTTATATGATTTATAAGCTACATGGATCATTTAATGTTTATATTTAAGATATTGAACAAGTAACAAAACACAATAAAACCAGAAAAACATATTTTTATCTTCCAATAAAAATCTCTTGTTTCTAGGTATATTTTGTATTGCGTCGTGTTCGATGGCTAATATATCAAGATTGTTAAGCCGCGATTTGGTCATTGTTGCCTGCAAATAGATTTTTTATAATTTTAGTTTACTGAAACTCCTTTCACATGAAGCTATAGACACGCAAACCGTCATGAACAATTTTAGTGCAATTGTAAGATTTGGAGAGATTCTGTGAAATCCTATTCTACAATGAACTTTAAAAAATCTAGAGTTACCCAATCAGAAACTGTAACATTAGCGACCTTTAAGTGTCTTTGCAGACTTGGTATCTCCAAAAGTAATTCTGCTTCTGAGACCTCATCACAAAAATCAGTAAATTTAGATGTAGCTAATTTTAATTTCAGTACTTATACAGGGTGACTTCGAAGTTGAGTCATTTATTTTAACAGTGAGTAGATCTGATCAAAAGAAATGTTTTTTTTCCTTTACCATTTTTCTGGTAAAATTAAAGTAACAAAGTTATAGCCCTTTGGAAGTTTTAGTACCGCCCTGTCTCAATAATAATATTATGTGCTCGTGTTTGGCGACAACGGATATAATCCGCCTTATCGGTTCATCGCATCGGAAACAAAAAAGCGAAAGAATTTGGAACGATGTTTTTACAATTATTTCATTCAGTTGTATACAGTCAGTGTCAGTCGGTAGTGAATAGTGGTGTCTGTTGCGTGGCTCAAACGAAATAAAAAATGGCACATGTTTATGCGGATCGGTTTCCCAATCGAGTGCAACCAACCCCTCGTGCCTTTGTTAATGTAGTACAACGGGTTCGTGAATCAGGTGACTTAAGACCTCACATATGGACGGCATGCCGGTGCTCCAAGACCTCACGATCAAATACAGGTCCGCACTGAAATACTTGTCGGGAGGATACTTTATAAAACAAGGTAAAATTTTTTTTTTATTTTTACACACATATTTTGGTTTATCTTCCTTCTACAACCATTATCTGAAAATTAATGACTCAACTTCAAAGTCACCCTGTATAAAATTGTAATTATACTTGGATAAAAAAATTAAAAAATACAATACCATTTTAAACAGAATCAATTTTTTACAACCACGCGTAAGTATGGAAAATGTAATATAATTCTCGGATGGCTCCTAATCATGGAAATGCAAGTCAATCACTTCCATTTGTCTGTTTATTGGTGATTTTATCACTAAGTAGCCTCAGCAACCATTGCAACAATTTTCAAGTTCTCTTCCATTAAAATCGCTGCAACGGTTGCTCAAATTAAGCAGATATTAGGCAGCAGCGGTGGCGTGGTGGGAGACGTGATGGGTCTACCAATCAGTCACAGTGAGCTGCGCGGGATCGAATCCGCTCCAAGAGAATTTTTCTCTTGGCTATGGATGTTGTGATTTTCCTCAGGTGGTAAACAGTCCCTAAATGCCAAACGCGGAGGTACCATCCGTCAGATGTCGAAGGCGGGCCAGAATGTGTGCATGTTACAATTTCCTTATAGCCGCTCGGTACCCTATGTGTGTTTAGGCCCTGGGCCTTCGTGATGGTTGGAGTATAAAGAAAAAAGCGACAAAACCGCAAGTGCGTTCCGTGACAGTACAAAAATGGATTCACTTTAAACTGAACTTCTTGATTATAGATAATAATTATAGAGTTATGTTTTATACGAATTTTTAACTCCACTTTCACTCCCTATAATTCCAGAACCATCAAGCTGTTGAAAAAAAGGTAAGAGGTCTTTTTAGTACCCAATTTCAATCTATACAAAAAAGATAGTCTTTATAAGCTTACATTGTTGGTTTAGCAAATTCATCATAAGCTGTTGACTATAGGAAAAGATTTTATAGAAGAAAATGTCAGAGTATTTAATTTCATACAAAACTGCCCAAGGGCGCCCACGTGAGAGTGTCAGGGGGCCATGCTCCCTGAGGATCCATTTTGTTGGATTTTTTGAACTTGTGTAATGTACGCCAATAATTATTGTCGTTGAATATTTGAGAATCGTATTACCCTGTAGTAAACACACATATCCTGTAAATTATACTAGTCACAAATTATGTATCTGTCAACTCAACAATTAAACGCTGCTTCATGCTCTCTAAAAAACGCATGTAATTATTCATAAACCATTCACAAAACCCCAATTAGCCCCCTCTTTGCTACGTTACTGAGTATAATTCCTACGTGATTAGGAGTGAAATTAATTCTGACCGAAAGATGTGTCTTGAAGTCATTGACATTCATAGAGTCATGAATCACCCAAACGTATAAAAAAATAATGTAAATAGGAAATACCCCTTGATTTTTCAAGGATATTTTTGCCACTATCCATAAACCGTTTGATTGAATGAACAGTGTACATTACGAACTTACTTTACACCATAAAAGAGCAAGATGGTATCACTGCCTATATGATAAAAAGGGATGGATGCACCGATGACTGTTAGAAAATTGTAAACAAACAGATATTTTAACCTATGATTACATGGATAGATCCGTTTTAATAAAAGTTTTAAAATGCATTGTAAATAACAAATTATGCATGCGCTTGATTATATCAAAACATCTTAAGCTCTAAATATGAAGTACTCACCTCTCTGATTCATAAATCTGTTGTATAGACTTTTTTTACGTGTGAGCTTTATCATGCTATGTTGAATCACCTGAATGAACTAATGCGTAACTTATCGAATAGAGATAAAATACTTGATAAAGCTAATAACAAACACTGAAATTCACTTTTCACAGGGAATTTACAAAAATACCAGAATTTCAATAAACAAGGATTAGCACTGGTCTGTTCCTATTTACATTCCGGTTTAACTTCGTTTTATCCTAAGCAGAAAACAAAAAAAAGTATAGGGAGGGTGTTTCTAGATTTGCCTTAATTAACTAACTGTTACGCTTACGAGGATATGAAACTTCTCCCCAAATAATGACTTACTTCTCAACTTAACTATGTAATATACTATTAATATGTTCGATGAAGTATCGAATATCTCCATATCTTAACATTAGTGTACTGTTTTGAACTGGGGTTGTCTGGAACAAGGAGCTGTCACGATAACATATCGACTGTCAAAACGTGACTTTAGCGTTAAGTGGAGTAGTGTATGGGTTATTTGTTATTCTAGAATTTCATTTGTTGATTTAAATTTTAATAACATGCAATAAACTTTCGTCAGCAGTATAATTACGGATTACTTGATCCACTCGATAATTTTATCCGTCGCCAATAAAGATCCGACGTAATGTACAGATTTGTTTATAGTTTCGCAAATATGTTGTGTATAAACCCTGCATAATGGCAGAAGACTGCACTGTAGTACGTTTTGCAAGGGACCCTTCGCAGGTCCGCATCGAAACCCTCAAACGTCAAGGCGAGTCGCCCGACAAGTTTTCGGACGCCGCGAAATTTGGCCCCTTCTATGCTTTTTGCATAGCCCTATCGATTGGGACCTACATCCTAGATTTGGTGTTAGCGATCATATTATTGTATTTTTATACTGTGCACGGGTATGGCTTGTATTTTGCATTAACCCTGTCATTTATGGTGATTCCTGCTTTGTTTATGTCTACAATTAGTCTACGATGGTAAGTAAAACCTAGCTATTTCATTCAGTTATGAAATGCAAGTGATCATGCTTTGCAGAGATTCAGTTCAGTAGTACCGGTATCAGTATTTTTCATATCTATTTTCAGGTATATAATAGACCATGATGACGCCTCTTTAGGGCATACTTCTACAATACAATGGTCAGTGCGGATGATCTTCCTACTCCTACAACTTGCACCATTGTTGCGCTACATTGATACACTTATATATGGCATTAGGAGCAAAATTGCTGCTGCAACTGATAATGAAACCAAACATGCCATCCTCTATAGGTAACAATATATAGTTAATTTAATGGTTTTTGGCAGTTAGGTCACAATGTCATATGGAATAAGTAAGCAGATTAACTAACTGTACACTTCCCTAAGGAAAATTGCACACTGTGCAAGCCAACCCTCAATGCAGCTAATACTGCATACCAGTGGCGGCTCGTAGCAAAATAAAACAGGTGTTCTGCAAATCCGAACTTACCTATTTTTTATATGTAAGTTTGATCCTATGCTCCTTCTTGGCAGCAAATTTGTGGATCACCTTCCTGTTGAAATTTTCCATGCTCGAAATAAATTCCTTTTCAATGGACAGCATCAACAATGCTGTAAGGCGATCCTGGGTCATAGTATTATGAAGAAAAGTCTTGATTCTTTTCAATGTTGAGAAATTTCGCTCAGCCTCTGATGTTGACATAACACGTAACAATAATTCTAATAGCTTTTTTGTTTCCTCCAAACTATTTTGTATCAAAAATTTCAAAAGAGACAGAGTTCCATGTAAATCTCGGCAATCATTTCGTACATAAATAACAGACAACTCTGTCTTTAAACAACTTTTTTCTAATTCGGGATAAGCCAAGAAGGTAGTTTCCAACTTGTCATCAGGAAACTTACCACAGTATTCTCCAAAGTGTTCGGGGAAAAAAAGGGATGCGGCTACCAAATGATCTTTGAATTGAAATCTGTCATTTGCAGAATTCACTATATTGTCGCATACTTCTAATGCGGCAACTCGGTGATCGTGACTGCTATTATTACGTCGTCTCCTTTTGTTGCCTTGGGGATCAGTGCAAATACTTTTGGCTTCATTTATTGTCATCAATTTTATTTCTCACATCGACAATACATTTTTCAAAATTATCGATAGCCATTTTAACTTGCACTGACTCGGTTTTTCTCTTCTGCAACTGGTTGCAAACACTACATTTATTGTTCGAATATTAAAATTCCATCGAGTTGTTGCTCCTTTGGGAATTTTTTTCCCCACAATTCTGTTCAGTACCTCTACGCGTTGAGGAGAATTATTAAAAAATCCCGGAATATCTTTCAAATCCCCAAACAACACCAGAACTTGAGCATTTGCGGAAGCAGCTTTGGACATAATCAGGTTTAACTGATGCGCATAGCAGTGCACATAGTGAGTAATTGGATGTCTTTGTTTAATTTTTGCCTGTACTCCAGCATTATGTCCGCTCATTACTGCGGCTCCATCATAGCTTTGTGAAATCAGTTTGTTAGGGAAATGTGCTATTAATGGATCTACGACGCTTAAAATATGTCTTGTGAAGAGTATCAGCGTCACATTTTTCTGGATTCATATAATTCCAAAAGCGTTCCACTGGTTCGCCGTTAAATACGTATCTGAACATTGTTACCAGTTGGGTTTTCCCCGAAATGTCCCTTGTTTCATTTGCTATTATCGCCAAATACGAGGCTCTGTTAATCTGTTTTATTATTTCTTCATGACAAACTTCAAGAATATAATCCAGTAGATCGTTTTGTATTTCTATCGAATTTCCTTTAAATATTGAAGCATTTTTTATGTGTTCACTTGAGGTTGTATCAATCTCAGCAGAAAAATTAATCAGTCCACGAAATACTTCCGGGTTTTGGGAGCTCTCGGTTTCGTCGTGGCCCAGTAGCGCCAATCCAAATGCTCCGCAAAATTTTATACCGAGACCGACCGACCAACCAATCAGATATCGTACTTCGCATTAGATCTGTACGGATCTGTATAACGTGCAGCACATTCTTATGCTTAAATGGCGCATTTGATTTTGTAGAGAGAGACAAAAGCAAGTGCGTGCGGCTTGTGTTGAAGTAGTGCACAGACCCTTTTCAAGTGGCCCATGATTAATGTTACGCTGCGGTCGCGATGAAAATGACAAGTAGACAATTGGTCGATTATACTACTTTCTCAATACAAAACAGACTCGACGCTGCGTCTTGCGGGGGCAGCGTTGCCGGTATTGTTTCTATTTGCGTGATAACATGGAAAGTAAATAGTGATCAAATTGCCTACTGCTTTTTTCTGTTAAGACAAAAGTTTTGGCAGTTCTGCAGCTCTGCAGAACTTAAGGGCCAGCCGCCCCTGCTGCATACACACAAACACATGAGTTGAGTGATAGACCATTTATTCATATAATAATATTTATTGTCTGATATTTCATCAAATTTAACACAGTCTGAATGCATTTTTTGCAATTATAGGCGGATGCTAGATGAAGATACAAACAGTGCTCTCTTAAGACTGTTTCATACATTTCTACATTCTGCTCCACAAGCTGTTATACAATTAGTGTTTCTACTATGGCAAATTGGGCATCCTGATAACCAAGAGCTAAATATAAGTAAGAAACATTTATACACAACATGTTATTAGTTATACAATACCTTTCTTCACAAATTGTCCATAGGTGAACTAACAAGGTTAATTCATGATGTGAAGACAACAGTTGGAAAGCCAGGCAAATATCTCCCACCTTTTTAATGTAGTTTGTTTAGCACTTATTTTGAGAGGATTCACATGATGTATAATAACATCAGCAATTGAGTTTTTGGAAACACATTCATTTAATTCTCTATGCATTTTTGACCTATATCCATATCTAGTCTGGCTGCATTATATAAAATCATATTGTGTTATATACATATTTGTACTTTGAAGAAAGATTGTTGCAAATAATTTGACACATTTTGGTAAATTATAATAATTGTCTTTTTATATATAGAAATAGCAGTTTTACAAGCATGGACAGTGCTGTCAGCATTGATGTCAATAGCATGGTCTTTGACATCATATCATAGGTCTGTCAGGTATTCCAGGGATGACAAGGACAAAATCAAATGGACTGGACTGCTAGTAAACTTCTGCTGGCAACTTATGAGTGCCTGTAAGTATGTATACCTGTCGTATTTTGCCAATAGCCTACATATTCCCATTCAAATTATATTAGCAATGTTACTAATGCTATTATGAGTGAGAAATGTGATACCATTGATGTTGTGCTATTTGGAAAATATTACAGGTGGTCTCTTGAAGTTATTGTTTAGTTTTTCCAACCCATTTCATAGATTATTATAGCTTATTCCAAAATTCAGTACAATGCCAGTGTGAGGCGGCAGTACTGACGATTTTGAAATAGAAGTCAAATTCATGAGAAAGCATTGAAGTTGAAGCCTGAACTTAGAGATTTCGACATTTCTTTATAAGCATTCAAAATGTCAACAAAAATTCGCCTTTGTGTCTTTTGACATGACACTAAGAAACAAGAATGGACACTACCTTATCGAGTTTTTTATAGTTAATATTTCAAAACCGCCCATTTCACTATATCTATACTCCACTATAACTTCGCCCTATTGCAACAGTCTATATTCTTTGCCCCCAGTATCCCGAGTATTGGCCCTATCCCTACTAGCTTCCGTATTCCCTGTTTGGGTCTGCTGTGTCTGCGCCCTCCACTGGGGAGTTTGGTGGGCATGGTTGGCGTTAGGCCAGCACCAGACAGCGGCGTGCGGCAGCAGATGCGACGAAATCATGCTAAGCGCTGCGCTGGGCTTGGCGTATGTCGTAGCGTTCGTATCGCCGAGAGACGGGCCTACTAGATATGTCTATTTAGCGTATTACCTGGTGTGTTTTATGGAGAATACGGCTGCCTTGGTTGTGTGGTGAGTATAATTTGATAAAAATAAACGTATATATCCGATTGTAATCACAGTACATCTCTTGCAACAGTTACAAAAAATATAGATAAGATATAAAGAGAAACAGTGTTATGAAAAACAAGTGCTGATATTCAGTCTCTGACATAGTATTTTACACTATTTGGCTCCATAAAAACGTTTTCATTGTTAATCAAGTGTGTTGAGTTAAAGTTAGTAGTCTATGCCTGGGATAACTTACATATAAATTTCTTGTGGTGCACTTGTATGAGGTCTGTAAATTAAGTGATGGAACTGATAATTTTAATTTTTTCATTCAAATGCAGTTACAATTTTAAATTGTTACCCTCAAAATAACTTTCATTTGAAGCTACACACTGCTGGAGGCCGTTCTTCCGCTCCTCATAGCAGTGCTAGAACTCTGATTGCCTTCAGCTGGTTTCCGACTGAAATGAGTTCTCTTGAGATAATTTTCCAACTTCGGAAAGAGAATAAAGTCACAAGGACATCGGTTCTTGAAGATGAAGGCCTTCTGCTCCGTGGTTCATCTTCAACCGACTCCCTCCCTACTGAAAATGTCTTTAAACCACGAAAAAACCTGAGCACTTTACAAAATATTATCTCCATAGGCCTGCTGAAGTTTAGCAAGAGTTTACCTTGCACTATGTCCAAGTCTGAAGCACACTGTTGCTCGAAATTCATGTCTCTAATTTTTAGAACACAATAGAAATTGCTATGGCAACCAAACGACTCGAGCGAGTTCAGACTTGTACTGAAGGCGGATCACATGTTTCCCTGTCTCCCCCTCAAGCTCGGCGCCTCCAGTGCTTCCAGATCGAACGCTACGTTACCAGTCCCCTTACTTAATTCACAGACCTCGTATAAAAGTATCCCATTTCGCATCTAAAGTCGAGTCATCACTGTGACCGCTAGTTACCGTCGAATCTAGCAGATATAGTAGATTATGGTCTACTCGCCATTGAATGTTAATAATACTAATACCCATCGGGTTCTGCCAGAATCGACGGAATCTAGCGGTCACAGTGATGACTCGGCTTTCGATGCGAACTGAGATTCGTTGAAATGCAACAGATAGCTGCCATTTACTTTCACAGTAGCCGATTCTGGTAATAGATGGCACTCGTGTCATCGTATTTAGATATACCTTATACGTCCGATAGAGGTCACTTTGCACTGCTTTCGTTCGCTGTCCTACCTGAGAGCACGCCTATACCATGCTGACAATTGCCTCAAAGCATGAAACAGCTGGACACGGGGCCATTGGTGGTCGGACAGACGAACGTATTGTGAACGTGTGAAGTAACATGATATTTCTAGCAGTGGCTTTATATAAGTGTAGTAAATAAATATCTAATTCAGGTGTGTTGCGAACAACTCCGTTGAAAACCCTCTGCTGTATTACGGCGCCGCAGGAGGTCAAGTTGCCACATTCATGCTAGCCATTTCATTCCTGCTCATCTACTACAAGTACTGCCATCCGTCGTTGGTAAACCGATCAAAAATCCCCTGCTCCGACTCCGACTATTTGGATTCCGACAAGCCAGGATACAGCAAGTCCTACAATGTACGGACTCGATCCTGATCTATAGTGTACGTTTAAGTGATACGTACGGAGTAGTTAAGAAATGTGAGCATGTATTTGAAAGATTTTAGAGAGCTTTCAAATACCGCACGCGTGAACCTTAACTTTGTTTGACATTTAAGCCGATGATTCATAAAGAATGTCAGAAAAGCTTAACGTTAACGGTTGTGCGGCGTATGTGCTTGTTAAAACTATTGTTTGATAATTCGTTAAAATTATCTGAAGGATTACAAGAATTAAATAAAAGGAGTTTGGAACTGTGTTAAGGGAAGTGTTTTTAGAAACGGCTAAATCTAATCTGTGTCAAAATATTTTCAATGCATCATAACGTGAAATCAAATAAAAGTTAGGCAGAACTACTTAGCATGAAACTAAAAAAATATGCGTTATTCAAGACTGGAATTTGAAGTGTTGGTGTTCTAGTTCATATGTTGCGTAATGTACCGCATAAACAACTTATAAATATTGCTAAGACATTAAACTGATGATGACGACATTTCGCAAATACACGTGATTCTAGTTCGAGGTAGGTTTTTTGCATAAGTTTGATGGATATGTCAACCAAAAAGGACATTTTACAAAAAAATTAGTTTTGAATGTTCGATATTGATCAAAAAGAATTCAAACTAATTTTTAGATGTTATCATATAACTGCTTTTACATTCCATGATCTTTCAGTTAATTTTTCTATGCTATCCGTAAGGTGGTGGTATATTATATTTATATATCAACGGTTATAATCGATTCGGAAATTTGTGTAAAAATTGACGACTTCGTTTAAACAAAAGAGAAAGGAGACAAGTTAGGCAAAAGTATTGACACAATGTCGCAGACCGTTTGGCATCTCATAATCTTCCTTGATCTTTTCCACTGACATTATTACGGTCTCCAGACTTCACAGATTAGACAAAATAGACTTACTGACTTTGAGGTCAAAGATCTCGCTTCCAGTAGAACATAATAGATTTAGTGATCATATAAGATTGGTTAATGACTTATGCATTCAAAGTATAATCAACTTGCCCCCATAATACTTTAAAATGTCATTTGAGACACGACTGACAACTCATGCAATATACCATTATTTCAATTGACAACACAATTTCAAAAACATTAAATTATTTTTACATAATTTTATGATACACAGGTTATTGTATAGAAGGGGTTGCTATAAAATGCAAACAAATATCTCACATACTTTCTTTCGTTTGACATAAAGTAGCATTTCAATATAAAAGTTGTCAGCCATGTTTGACAGATAATGTCCAAACTATCCTTCAATGCAATTTATCTAGCGTTTTGTGGTTAAAACATGTGACTGTCTGTGGCCTTTATTGAAGATCACTGTATTAATGGATTTTACCTCCTGAACTTTTTCAGGATGAATAAAAAATAAAGTTGTCTCACATTTCAGACTGAACTTCAGAGAACGCTCATTTAAGTACAGGGTGTTTAAACATTTAACATAGATATTTTGTAAAAATTGAATATAACACTAGTAATAATACAGGTGTTGTCCTTCTGAATTAACTTAACTGTCCTTTTATGTAGTTGATTCATTGATTGACACTTGACAATGATCTGTACTGCAGTACGAAAACAAAAAACACTCTGAATTGATCCAGGAACAGCAGCATATAAATTCTGAGAATTCGTGTATTGGCATAGACACATTTCATTTGCTATATCTTGAAACGTGTATAAAAATATCTCGCCTAAATTATAAAGTAAAATTAACTTTTATATTCATATATTATGATAAATTTCAAATATGCCACAAATATGAATGAGAACCTGCGCTTCTCATTAGAAAGATTAACAAATGTTTTTAATTTTTGTACTGTCATTTGCAATGTATAAACTATGTAACAGTACTGGATTATCTACTATCAAATCGAATAAAATAGTGAGCAAGCATTTAACAGTCTGTGTATGTATATAATGTATAGTCTGTTGCTTTGTACTAAGTATATTTTTTAACAATGTTAGATGTCTATACAAGCATTATTTTTTGTATTAACGTATTTCCAATACTGTAGTTGAATTTGATATAGTTTGCATTATTAGATGTTTCATTCGTCAAAAGTCTTGACTTTTAATTTAGAAAAAGTTTACTTCGAAAAAGGGTTTCAATAGTTTTTGCATCAGAATGATGAATTTACCGGCTAAAAAATATTTTTTATAATCGTCTTTCTGAACCTGGAAAATACTTTAAGAAATGATAATTAAACTTTTTATTCTTTTTCAATAAGTTTTGCATACAATATGTGTACCAAATTACTAAATAGCGTGGGCGAATTGCATGTACTGTTATTGTAGCATCTTTTCACCTACTAGTTATTTAGAGCCGAGGTTAACGTGCATGTTTTTTCAATCAGTATTACGAAAAAATAAGGCTTTAATTTAGTTATGTTTGTTATGAAATTTCTGGATATTGATTTTGTACAAAATGCTTATCTTTGGTATTGACCAATTTTGGGTGTATAAGTGATTTGTTGCCTTCTTGAAAGTGCTACTTTCTACTTGTGATATTCCGCAAGATTTAAGTCGGTGATATAACATACAGGTCTGTACTTACATACCTTAGATGTGATGAACAAATATGTAAATTAAAATATCTATAAAGAGGCACATATATATTGTTGGTCTGCAAAGGAGATAACAAAATATGTGCACAAATGAAGCTTTAAATGTTAAAAATTATTGATCGTTGGAGCCTAAATATCTATTGCCCTGTTGATGTTTGCTGTGTAGTTTGTATAATTGGCAATTAAATCGAGAAATACCATCATAGGTACAGGCTTTGTTATATTAAAAAAAAACTGCTGTTGAGGTCAAGTTGAAGCTCAACACACTATAGGGAAAACCAAATTTGTCTGACGGCTTAAGTGCAATGTGTACGAGAGAGAAGCGCGAGAAGTGTGAAAGAGAGAAGCCGACTGAAGAGCGAAGTTCATCACCACATTGCCCAGCGACGGTGACACTGTGTGTCACACCAGAACATGTTCGCACAGGCTTTTACAATAGGTTAGGTTACTGTCAAGAAGGAGGTTTTCATTAAAATTATTTATTTCAATGTTGATGCGACTTAGTGTTTTAATTTATTTTAGAATTATCTACACATCCTGCGTAATTTTTGCATTTTGCAACATATCTTTCTATTATGTGTCTATACACACTTCTCTCTCATACACATTGAACTCAGCCGTCAGAGAAATTTGGTTCGCAGTGTATACCATGATTGACCTCATAATATGGCCGCTGGTGCACTAGTATCGCACCCATATACAGGCGAAAATACAATTGCAACTGAGTTTAAGTGCCGGTATGCTAGGCTGTCAAATTTTTCATATAGTGAAGAAATGGAAATGGTAGATCTGATAAATATGTAGATGACATTCATTTTGACATTTCACATAACGTCATCCATTTTGGTAAGTTACTAATGTAATTTTTTCGTCGCGTCATGGCGTTTATTGAGGCAAACCTCGTTATCAGCAAGTGACACCTTCATTTATGTTAAGTCTTGTTGGCAACAGTCAATCTGATGAAACTGGGAACCAGAATCAGAACTATTTATACCAAAGACCAATAAAAATTTTGCATACATTAAAAGACTGGGAATTTTTTAAACAATAAAATATATGAAGCACACATAGATTACAAAAAACCACAACAAAATATGGCTACAAAACATCCTCCACCATTAATACTAATTTGTCTACAAACCCGTCAAGAGTTGAACTGTCACTTAATGGTATGGGGTATTTTTAATGTGACTAGATTATTAGCTGTTATTTTATGACAAGTTTTGCTGTGATGAAGTATTGAGAAAAATATTTTAATTGTATTTTCCTCCTTATAAGTGTGATGCTATTTCTCCAGTGGTGATCGTATGTGCATGGCCAATAGCCATGAGTAGATTTCACACTGCTTGTTTCAAATTTTGTCATCAAAGCTAACTTCTTTTTTTGTATTTCAAATATAAGATAATCTAAATAATTTTCCATGCCAAATAAAGAATACTGTTGTGCGGATATTTTACAGTTTAAATAAATTTATGATTTTTTTTGCTCTTAAACACAGCGTGTGCCATGACTAGATTGTTTTGTAATTAAGCTCAAAATAGTTTGAGCCACTTTTGAAATTTGCTGTTTTAATACTTGACTGCCACAAGAGTAATTAGTATACTTCGAAAATGCCTAAAAATTCAATGTAAGGGAACAATATTAAAACACATTATTTTGTATTATAATAGATTTTACTGTACATTTCGTATTTTAAGTGTTGATATTTTCTTAAATAAACCTAATAAGAAACATGCTTGCATTTCATTCAATATCATAGTATTATCTTTCAGGCATACACGTCCATAAAAATGACAGACATTTAAAAATAAATTATTATTCTAACTGAAAGGATGGAAACTCTAGAAATTCTAGAATGCAAGCCATTTTATGAGACATTTCATGAATTTTGAATGAATAGTGGATCCAAGCCATTTCATTTTTTTGCGAGGTCCTACGATGAACTGTGGCCTACATGCAAAAATTATACAGAATGTATTACTGAGTGGTCTCAGGCCTTAGCAACATGATAAATCGACCAATACCTGCAGTCGCGTTCATGTTCCTCACCCCCAAGAATGACGATACATTTTGGCAAATTATGATTTTGCCTTCTAGAATTCTAAGCCATATCCTATTTTCATTATTTATGTACAACTGTCGTCATCCAGCAGCGATTCATCTCTAAACATCTACCGAATGACGAGCATGCACTATTCGTTGTCAGCACTAGTCGCGTTTTGCGTCAGGAAGACCTGGGGCGCGGCGCTGGTTCCGCTGCTCTGTTGCACCTGGATCAATTGGGGCTGCGTCCCCGTCGCGATGGGCGCCGTTTGAATGATAACTGGCTGTGACGAGTTACCTTGCAGTTGCATTTTTATCATTTGCAACTGTTGCGGAGTCAGTTGGATCTGGAACAGCAGTCATCCAATCAAATCACAGAATAGTATAGTTTGTTTCAAATTCGGCTATCACCACTGTGGAATCTTGGAATAGGTTAAGACGGGAATGATTATTGTCACGCCACGTAAATTCAAGAGATATATCGCAAGCTCAGGAACCATAATGTAAATTAACAATATACAGGGTGTCCGCAAAGTTGGGGTTTTCCTTTTCAGAAACAACTACCCTTGAAATAACAAAGGTAATTTGTAGTGAAACGAGGGCGACCAAGTAAAAAAAAAATAAAGGAAAAAGTACTCACTCTGCAGTTGACGAGAAGGGCTAAGTACGTCTCTGCCCGAAATCATACCGCTCCAACAGAAAATGAACACAGCTGATGCGCTTCCGAGCAGACGCAGACAAACAAGGAAGGCAAAATGTTGCGTAAAAAGTCTAGGTATTGCATCCCGTTCAATCGATTTGGGAGAATAAATGGTCCAATGAACATACCTTTCACCATGCCAGCCCAAACATTCACCGAAAATGTTTGTTGAAAATGTGCCCGACGGACAGCGTGCGGATTTTCTACTGACCAAACATGAGTGTTGCGAAAGTTATTCACCCCATTACGCGTGAACGTAGATTCGTCTGTCACCAATATGCACTTCAAAAAGTCCGGATTATTGTCATGTTGATGCAACAACCACTCACAAAACCGCACTCTTGCTGGAAAATCGTCAGGTTGAAGGGCTTGTACACGTTGGACGTGAAACGGATACAGCCCCTCTTCACGCAGCGTTTGCCACACTTTAGTTTTTGATACTTGCATTTCTCTAGCCACGTTTCTAGTGCTTGTTGGGGGATTCTCGTCTACGCGATTACCTTTACACGCGTGACCGTAACCGTCGGTTGAAGGTTGCATACTGACCTGACACACTGACCCCGACCCAGTTCTGTCGTCGGGTTGAGCTAGTGTCCTAGTACCACTCGGGGATGTCGCGGCTACAGGACGGTATTCACATATTTTTGATGTTGCAGAGCCCTTTATCTCGGTTCCCTTAAGACATTGGTGTATATGGTACTAAGAAAAATTGCTTATGTTTTCAAGATCTACACGTCGTGTAAAGGAAAACCCCAACTTTGCGGACACCCTGTATAGTACCACACTTATACATTTAGAAATACACTGTCACCACATGCACTCATGGTTCTGTTATAATCCAACAATTTACATTGTGAGAAGTGAGTTTACGTGACGTGACAGTAATGTATTTTTGAGTTGCAAAGTTTTGGAGCATTTAATTGGGAATATTTGTGGCCTGGCCATATATCTTGCATATATTAGCTATGCCTTGACTATATCTTGGCAAAATTGTTGGCAAGGACTACAAAATCGGGTAACAATGCCGCATCGCGGTAGCTTACATACATTAATTACATGAAGTATGATCCCCAATAATTGACAATCTGGCACTACATGAACCTAGGTCGGGAATCTTACAAAATAAGGGCAGGCTGGAAAACTATTACCCGTTGCCTTTTTGCGATATATGTTAGGCAGGTTTGACTCACAAACGCCGCGTAATGGGATCAAAATCAGGCATAGCTGCCATTAGAACAGAAGACTCGTAAAAAGATAACAAAAAAGCTCCACCACCTAACTCAAAACACTGGCGCGGTGATTGTGCACAGCACATACCATAACTTCGGATTTGGATATTATTGCTTGCTTGTGTACTACTACTATATACTACTTGTTTCTAATATTTACAAAAAAATCTTGGATGGAGCACTTTTTATGTGGAAACTTGTTTTTCCAAAAAAACATTTTTCACCAATACTTTGATGTGACATAAAAATACACGAGTGACGTTGAAGAATACATCACAGGAAGAAGGTATATTTATTAATATATTTTGTCCCCCTTATTAATTGTTCATGTGTGTGCAGAGAAATCGTTAAGAGATTTTATAGTCACTTCATAGTTGATTGTGATTTGAAATTTTCACATCTGTAGGGCAAGGGTTTTTTATACTTGAACCACCATGCAGGCCTAAGGTCTAAATATCCAAGGGTACCATAGGGCTATAGGGGGAAAGGGGAGACTCTAGCAGGGAACATGTGGACATGTGATATGTAGACCTTATGGCCCTGCTTCAGAGATCCGTCAGGTGGTACCTCCATGCTTGACAGTCTGAGACCATCTACCACCTGCAGAAGGCGCAGGTCTTGAGGTTATCTGACTACATTCTTATACTCACAGGTATTTGTTGAACTTCTCCTGTTGGTGTGACAATTTGTTGAATGATTTGTACATTTCCTGGAGGACTTGCTGTTAAAGGTTGTCCCTGTTGCAAAATCACAGGAGTTGCAGTAGTTGTATTGCTTGTTGGTGATGATGATTCTTGAGTTGGCTGAAATCATTCAACAAACAGTTACGAGGGATGTCTTTTAAGTTTTGCATATAGAAACATAGTAGGCCGCGCGGATCGGACGTCAGTACTGAATCTTAACCTCACTCTTTAGTAAACTTAAATTCAAAGTTTCACAACAATACGTTCAGTGTTCTCACTACAGTGAATTTTTAAGTGTCACCAAGTCATTAGAAAAATGGAACTCAACCTAGAACATTTTCGCGCCATAATTTATTACAACTTTCAGAGACAATTATCGCAACAAGAATGCCTTGCTGAGTTACTGTCTGTTTTCGGCAACGAAGCGCCACATCAGTCGACAATTTCCCGTTGGTACGAAGAATTCAAACGTGGACGAGTGAGTCTTAGCGACAATTCAAGGAAAACGTCGATGCTGTGCGCAAATTGACGATAGACATGTGGCATATCGCGAGATTGAGGCGTCCTTGAAGATCTCAAAGACCTCAATTCAAAAAATTTTACATGAAGAATTAGGAGTAAGAAAATTAAGTTTCTCGTTGGATACCCCACCTGTTGACTGAAGAGCATAAAGCAGCCAGGGTTAATTGGTGTCAAAAAACGCTTGAAAGTTTCAATTCCAGAAACTCCAAAAATATGTACAGCATTTTTAGTGGTGATGAATCGTGGATTTAATGTTATGAACCAGAAAATAAACGACAGTCGGCTGTTTGGGTGTTCCAAGGTGAAGAAAAGCCAACAAAAGTCATCCGTTCTCGATATGTTTCGAAAAAGATGGTCACGACATTTGTGTCAAAAGCGGGTCATATTGCAAGAATTCCTCTTAATGAGCAAATAACTGTTACTGCAGATTGGTATACCACCACTTGTTTGAAAAAAGTGATCATCGAACTTCGAAAAATCAACCCCGAAAGAGGAATCATCCTCCACCAAGACAATGCAAGCTCGCACACAGCCCAAAAAACAAGGCAGTATTTAACGGAAGAAAACGTGGAATTATTGGACCATCCTCCATATAGTCCCGATCTAAGTCCTAACGATTTCTTTACTTTCCCGAAAATTAAAAACAAACTGCGTGGTCAAAGGTTCCAGTCACCAGAAGAAGCAGTTGACGCATTTAAAAATGCCGTTTTGGATCTGCCAGCAAACGAGTGGAATAAGTGCTTCGAAAATTGGTTCGAGCGCATGCAGATGTGTATTAATCTTCGTGGAGAATACTTCGAAAAATAATAAAGTCATTTAAAACTACCTACCGTGTCGTTTTATTTCCATATGCAAAACTTAAAAGACATCCCTCGTATTACCAGAACCATTTTTGAAATACAAGTTAATTTATAATTTTCAAATGATTTACATTATACATTATGAAATAACTTATTAAATAATTAATTTCGAATGTTTATTGTTTCATGAACAATTATTCCGATTTGATGAAATGATGCTGTAGAAAATAGAAATTAATTCCTTTGATGTTCTGTTGTTTAATTACTGTATGAGAAGCTAGGCAAACTTTACGTTTACTGTAAGCTTGGTTGCAACAAGGCTTTAAGCTCAGGCACCAAACTATAGGATGATATAGTTAAACCCAATTTTAGATAGATGTACCAAACATTCAGTCTAATTTGTGTGACAAATTAATTTGAAAAAATTCTTAATTAAAATACATACTTGTTCAATTGTATTGACTTGTACAGTTTGAACCTGCTGGGGTTGTACAATTTGTATGGCTGGTTGTGGTTGCGCTACAGTTGCTGTAGTACCTGAAGAGGTGCTGTTCTGTTGTAAATTAGAGTGAGCTTGTTGAGCCAATTGGAAGTAGTAATGAACCTGTGAAACCGAAAACATGTTAGTTCGTGAACAAGTGATCAAAAGACCATAACTTGGGTTACATGGGAGCTAGCCAGCTTCTTTGGGAATATTTGTTAATAAAAGTTTCCTGGCAAAGAATTTCTGACTGATATAGATGGAAAAAAAGTTGATAAATTGATTTTCCCTTACAGACTTAAGCAATCAGACAATTTAGTTTGGCCAACTATACAGGGTGTCCGCAAAGTTGGCATTTTCCTTTTCAGAAACAATTACCCTTGAAATAACAAAGGTAATGTGTAGTGAAATGAGGGCGACCAAGTAAAGAAAAAATAAAGGAAAAAGTACTCACTCTCCAGTTGACGAGAAGGGCTAAGTACGTCTCTGCCCGAAATCATACCGCTCCAACAGAAAATGAAATCAGCTGATGCGCTACCGAGCAGACGCAGGCAAACAAGGAAGGCAAAATGTTGCGTAAGGTCTCTGTTGCATCCCGTCCAATCGATTTGGGAGAATAAATGGTCCAATGAGCATACCGTTCACCATGCCAGCCCAAACATTCACCGAAAATGTTTGTTGACAATGTGCCCGACGGACAGCGTGCGGATTTTCTACTGACCAAACATGAGTGTTGCGAAAGTTATTCACACCATTACGCGTGAACGTAGATTCGTCTGTCACCAATATGCGCTTCAAAAAGTCCGGATTATTGTCATGTCGATGCAACAACCACTCACAAAACCGCACTCTTGCTGGAAAATCGTCAGGTTGAAGGGCTTGCACACGTTGGACGTGAAACGGATACAGCCACTCTTCACGCAGCGTTTGCCACACTTTAGTTTTTGATACTTGCACTTCTCTAGCCACGTCTCTATTGCTTGTCGAGGGATTCTCGTCTACGCGATTACCTTTACACGCGTGACCGTAACCGTCCGTTGAAGGTTGCATACTGACCTGACACACTGACCCCGACCCAGTTCTGTCGTGGGGTTGAGCCAGTGACCTTGTACCACTCGGGGATGTCGCAGGTCGCGGCTACAGGACGGTATTCAGATATTTTTGATGTTGCAGAGCCCTTTATCTCGGTTCCCTTAAGACATTGGTGGTACTAAGAAAAATTGCTTGTTTTCAAGATCTACACGTCGTGTAAAGGAAAACCCCAACTATGCGGACACCCTGTATATGATGGTTGCGAAAAATTAGAAAATTATTACTACTACATGCCTGCTATCTTTATAACTAAGTTGAGAGAAACATCCTTAGTTAAGGGCTATTCATTAGATTTTTCAAATTTGCAACATAAGGTCAAACCATGTGAATAACAATATATTTGAATTAATTAGTTTGAAGCTCAAGTTTAGGGAATACCTGATCTGGGTTTGATCCAGTCCTTTGAGTTCCATCTGTAGGTACTTTGATTGTTTTCAAGTCATCTCTTGGTACAATATCTATGAGAAAGTCAAACTGGTCATATTTTGTTATGGCCATTGCAATATCATTCCTCTGAAAAACCATTTTGTTATGAAGTGTTTATCATCAAATATCAATAATATTTCATGGCATAAGGTTTATTTTGAATCAGAAACATGTTTGCTGTATTTAGACCTTGTTATCATATATGGTGCAAGCAAAATAGTACTTAAAAAAAGGTAATTATGTATAATACATACCTGAAGGGTCCTTCTTTTATTATCTTCTGTGTGTATCCAAGCTCTCAAGGTTAATTCGTGAATGAAAATCTCTGCAGCTTTAGCAAATAAAAGAGGTGCTTCGGCACTGATCATTTTCACATCCTCATCTAATTTCATGATCTTCTTAATCCGAGCTAGAGGAAGTACTTGCTGCTTCAGGTCCATCTAAAACCAATCATACAAGGGGGTAAAATAGGTATCTGAAGTTGAAGCTAGGGTTATTTCTCACATGGCAAATATCACGTATTTCTTTCATGACCTTCGGCCAGAATTGGTTGAGGGCCTGTTGGGCCTCGCTTTGGGTTTGGGACTGGTCGTCCACACATTGTCCGTCGGTTTTTTCTTCACTGGCTTCACTAAAAATATTGAAAATTCAATATATATACTCATTTGGATGTGCTTGAATAAGGTACGTACGTGTTTACAAAGAACAGTGATGTCGCCATCGATGCAGTGTGAGTATTATGCAGTTGTTAATTTCTATTAGGTCCTAAATTCTATATAATTTATTTTTCTTAACAGAAATGGGAAAAATAAAAAAAAATATTAGTAAACAATCTAGGACCGGCATGAAAATATTGCCAGCTGTCATTCCCTTGTCAACAACAGTTGATTTCGATTTTTCTGAGTACAGGATATTTAACTTATGTGGGTCCCACACGATACTTCCAACGTTGTTTACAACGTTCGACACGATGGGATGAACTTTTTAGTCTAGGACGTTCGACGCATGGTGGTGCCAACATCTATTATCGGTGTCAGTGTCGCACTTGAACCTTTACAACTGAAGGAAAAATTAAATTATACAAAATAAACGATGAAACCATTTTTTCGAGCGCCGAAACATAATTTCAGTTCTGTCCTCAGCGATCAGAAGCCTCAAAAATGTCGAAAAACGAAGTTTGACCATTTTTTATTTGTTTTTCGATGATAGCTCCACCGCCACTGTACCGATTTTCAAAAACTGCAGAGCTTTTTCATTTTCATAGTACTAACCCAGGATAACTTTCAGAGTTATCATTTTTTTATATATACTCCAACTACCATATCCTTAGGCCAGCCATAACTCACCTGCGAAACGTACAAAATATTAGAAATATGAATAAAGTGATGTTATGACAGCCTATGTGTTGTATGTATACTAATTTAATTCATTCTTTTCAAAAGTTAGTTACGGAACATACATTATTATGAATAGGTAGGTATTCAAGTCAAAATACTTCCCACATACCACTACTTCACCACAGTCACTGCAAACAAATAAACAATGTTTGTCGCCGCTACTGGTTCTGACGTCAAACCATCAAACATCTCGTGTGGCAGCGTAACGAACCATGCTTCCTTCCAACGTTGTAACGTCCTTTGACGCGGGTCAAATTTACCGACAAGAGCCCGAACGTGCCATGTGGCGAGCGTTGGACACATGCAATCCGTCAGCGCTCTCCCACACGATGTGGCGAATTGCCATGTGTCCAACGTTGTAAGGCATTCGCCACATCATGTGGGAGCGGTTTTATTGGAGTTATCATACGTCAATTCGTTTTTGTCAGCTTGTGCTGTCACTCTCAGTTGTGTTTCTATTTGCCTTGTTTTTTGTTTTCCAAATCCGGAAAATAACTTTATAACCTGGATATTCATTTTACCTCAATTTTTTGCGAAATTATCGTCTAAGTAGCGAAAATGGTTGTCCGCCAATATCAGCAAGAACTAGAATACCTAGAAAAAATATCCTCTTACTGCTGGAGGATCAAAAAAGGCTTCCAGCCGAATATGAGGGTTGAGGGGGTGTTTTACGTGAATCAAACATTGGAAAAACTTATGTTGGACGAGCTGAGAAATGCTTGTAGGCCAGGCATGGTTGGGGGCTTCCTGCCAGGTGTGAAACAGATCGCCAATGTTGCAGCTCTGCCTGGTATAGTTGGAAAATCTGTTGGCTTGCCAGATGTACATTCAGGATATGGCTTTGCTATTGGTAAGTATATTCCTATTGTAGGATCTTCTCGGCACACAGGACCTTGGACCTGTGGCTGAAGGAGTCTAAGGGCACGGCAGAATCTGGGGCTGTATTTTGCTGTGGAGAAAATTGAAGAGGGCAAGTATTCTCAGGCCTGCTTTTAAATTTTGTTTCAATAACTGAGTATTCAGATTCCTCTGCTATTTAATAGAAAATCTCCCCTGGCTGAGCTCAGGAAGATTTTGAAGAAAGAAACATCATTCTGCCAGACAAGAGCCAAGGTCCTGCCAACTGCTCAAATAACCAATGATGAGATGACTATTCCTCTGAATGTTAACTCATTTTTTGATCCCATAGGTAATATGGCTGCATTTGATGTGAATGACCCTGAATCAATTGTCTCACCTGGTGGAGTAGGCTTTGATATCAACTGTGGTGTCCGTCTTCTGAGAACAAATCTGTATGAGAGTGATGTATTGCCTGTCAAGGAACAGCTAGCTCAGAGTTTGTTTGATCACATTCCGGTTGGTGTGGGTTCAAAAGGTATACATACTGAAGTTCAATTCTTAATTCACATACATTGATCATTCAAAGAAACATAATTGAGTGTTAATTTACTTGTTTGTCATATTTAGGAATAATTCCAATGAATGCTAGAGATCTGGAAGAAGCATTAGAAATGGGTATGGACTGGTCTTTGAGAGAAGGTTATATCTGGGCTGAGGACAAAGAGCACTGTGAAGAGTATGGTAGAATGTTGAATGCTGACCCTGCTAAAGTAAGCATGAGGGCTAAGAAGAGAGGACTTCCTCAGGTAATTTTTTTTTCTAAAAAATCTTTTTACTGCCCATTTTTATTTCATGGAATAAAAGTATATATTTATGAATGTAAGTTTTCTTTACCAGACTTATGTAAATCAGGGTATTGAGCACTTGTTCAACAAGTTTTCATGAAGTATTGATCATATTGTTTCTGAAACAAATAAGGGACAGTAAGGTTGACAACATTAAAATTGTCTTCTTTTTATCATCATCTCATGAAACTGGCTTTACATAAAGGCTACTGTACTGTCATTATATGCACATAATGAGGGTGTGGCTTGATGTCATGTCTTGTCTAATTAAGCTTCACAGCATTCACACTTCATTGCTAAATTCAATAAAGTCTGATTTTATGAGCTGTAATCAATATAGAAGCATTTTATTTGTAGCTGGGAACATTAGGTGCAGGCAACCACTATGCAGAAATTCAAGTAGTAGATGAAATTTATGATAAATGGGCTGCTTGCAAAATGGGCATTGAGGAAAAAGGACAGATATGTGTTATGATCCATTCTGGCAGTCGTGGTTTTGGTCACCAGGTGAGGATGATTTTCCAAAGACCACCATGTGAATCAAAATTCAGTCTTATGCTATTAAAAGCTGTACATTACCAGTAATTGATGCATCATATGTATGTATTTCTGTTTAGGTTGCTACTGATGCACTGGTGCAAATGGAGAAAGCCATGAAACGTGACAATATAGAAACAAATGACAGGCAATTAGCTTGTGCGCGTATCAGCTCTGTAGAAGGCCAAGACTATCTAAAGTCTATGGCAGCAGCAGCAAATTTTGCCTGGGTGAACAGAAGCTCCATGACATTTTTGAGCAGACAGGTAAGGTCTAAATTCAAACAAAATATTTATACATTTAACATTTAGTAGTAGTAGTAGTAGTAGAAAAATTTATTTAGCAGGTTTGGATACATAAACAAAGTAGAATCAGTAAATTCAAGCCATATGATGCATCTGTATGCTGGGCAAGCTAATTGTAGACTTGAAGTGATTTCTCAATATTACTTTGAATTTTTGTAATTAATTTATTATATTCGATCAACCCTGGATGCGAGGGCGGATTTAATAATCTATGTAGTGGGGCTGCAGTGATGATCTTGCAGCATTAATTTTTAGGAAGATGTTCGTCTCGGGGAGAGGCGATAAAAAATTGAAGAGGGGTGGAATGGCGACTGCATGCTTAAACACTTCTGAGAGTGAATATTCTTGTGACAATTGAAGAGCAGGGGCTGGGATACGTCTAGGGGGCGCACCTCTCAGGATTTATTTTGAAAACCAATGGTAGACTTGGGCGTCTAGGGGGGAGGGGGGGTCTCTCTTAATCTACTCTTGCCTTCTTGAAATTCAAGTGTGTAACATATATTTGGAACGTTAAATGGTCATCTTTATATGTGGTATTATGTAAATGATGAACAGCATTTGATAAAGTTAATCTAGTTAGACATGGTGGAAATATTACATTATAAATTAATATTATAAGGTATTTGATAACAATTTTACATTGAGCCATTTTATAATTTGGTATTTGTCTAATTGGAATATATTAATGTTTATTCTACTACTAATAATGTTTATAATCTTTTCATAATGATTTCAAAATTTAATTGAGAGTCAATGAAAAGCCCAATGTAATTAAAATTTTCTATAAATTCCATATCTTCACCATTAATATTTTGTACATTGGACTTTTCCAATGAACATATCTTTTGTTTTACTTGTATTTAATTTGAGTTTGAAAATCATTTGAAACAAGTTTTAAATATTCATTTATATGGGAGATACCAGACTGATTTTTTTAGTAATTATTTAAATCAGTGTCATCGGCGAAAATTAGAATTTTGCAGTTTTTGATTATATTTTAACACTTCAAACTTTGTCCAGAACTGGTAGCAAATGCTACTCAAACAATGAACGTTCTGTTTCAGGCATTTGCAAAACAGTTCAATATGGCACCAGATGATCTAGACATGCATGTTATTTATGATGTTTCTCACAACATAGCAAAAGTGGAAGAGCATCTTGTTGATGGAAAACCTAAAACTTTGCTAGTGCACAGGAAGGTCAGTATATGCTTTATATGACATAATTAGAAATTTGGTGATATTCTTCTAACTGTTCTTTTAGTGAAACCTATAATTTTTCTCTTGACAGGGTTCAACCAGAGCATTTCCACCTCACCATCCATTAATCCCGGTGGACTATCAGTTAACTGGACAACCTGTTTTAATAGGAGGCACAATGGGGACTTGTAGCTATGTGTTGACTGGCACGGAACAAGGAATGTTTGAAACATTCGGTTCGACTTGTCATGGCGCGGTATGTATAAAGAAACTTATTTCATATTTAGGATTATAAAGCAATATTGTCTGCGTTCAGCAAACAGTAACACTCTATACTTATGTAAAATGTTACCTATGAATACCTTTCTCAATTTTTTGATCAGTGTTAATATTTTTAGGGTCGAGCATTGTCCCGAGCAAAATCGCGCAGAAATATAGATTACACTGACGTGCTACAGAAACTTGAATATATGGGTATTTCCATAAGAGTAGCGTCGCCAAAACTGGTAATGGAAGAAGCACCAGAGTCGTACAAGAATGTCACTGACGTAGTAAATACTTGCCATGCTGCAGGAATCTCGAAGAAGTGCATCAAGTTGAGGCCAATCGCCGTCATCAAAGGATAAACAGTATTATTTATGTGAAACAAAGTTCAAGCACTGATTCCGACGTTTCATGAACTTACGATGAGGTTTATTTTTCTGATAACTGCAGAGAAACTGTTACAATGCAGTGTTTCCTTTGTATCAGATTAACTGATTACATTTCTCAAACTTGAAAATTTTTTACAAGATCATCTTGCTTTATACAAGGTATTCATATTTATATGATGATGAATGCATGCGGATAGTATGTTTAATGCTAAGAAATATGTTTGATTGTTGTGTGACCTGTATTTATGAAAAAATAAATCCACATTCTTTGATATCTTATTGATAAGTATTATTTTCTTACCTCTAACGCTGTCAAGCAGTCTGCGTCGAGCTCGTCCGGGGATTTACGGTTATAGTTCGGTGAAATTAATCTAAACGTGGCAAACACTAGATAACATTGACTACTCCCATTCGAGGTATTTGCCTAGTATATACGCGAAATGAATTTCATTGGAATACATTTTCTAATCCACTCGACGACATTCCAATTACCAAAAAATTGGTTAGTCGGGAACGTGAGCCCAACAACGTTTTTTGAGTCACTGCAACTGAATCTGGGGCCCATTCAGTCCGAAAATGCCAAGACCACTCGTAATAAAAAATACTCCGACAACTGTCCTGGTATCTGTGCAGTAGAACGTTTTAACTCTGGACACTTTTATAAATTTCCAATATGCTGTTTGTTCGTACAGTGGTCGGCAGGGTTGCCAACTACACTTTTAATTGTAGATTTACAGTTTTTCAAAATCGTTCATGTTTTTAGATGCTCGCGTCATCTGTTTTGTTCACTACGAAGTCGCTAATTTACACAATAACTCTGTCTTAGTAAAATATATCACTTGCCAGATCGGATTAAACAATAAATCTACTTTGAATCAAATTCTTTTTGCAGCGGTTCTGGTTGACCGTAAGTGACATGAAAATGACTGAATTCAATTAAAATTTTGTTACTTTTGTCACTCAAATTCAACCAGAATCAGAACCGCCGCGAAAAGAACTTGATTTAAGTTAAGTCAAAAGTGTGCTATTCGTAAGCTACATACTATTTTTCACGAGTGTCTACAGGGTGTCCGGTAAATACTACGGCAAAAAAAGTAGGGACGATAGGCGAAGGGCAGATTTACAACATACCAGAAAATGACCATATTAAAAGTTTCATTGTTTTTGAGATATTAACTTTTTTGTTTTTTTGAAAAAATTCCTCTTTTAATCTATCTTTTCTTGCTGTGCCTAGAAATAACAGGATATGTGTTTGTTTGTTTTTTGCAAAGTATTCTCAGACAGTTGGTCTGCCATTTGAAATATCATTTTCGATAATTACACTTGACAAACTAATTTCTTCTAATTTTTATTTTAGAAAACTATTTTACTTAACTTCGGTATTTTGCAATAAAATAAAAATGTACTAGACTGCTTCTACAAAGTACTGCGATAAATTACCTACTTAATCATGACTTCAGGTTAAATAATGCTACCGTTCTTAAAAAATTCGAAAAAGAAAAAAATTAATATCTCAAAAAACAATGAAACTTTTACTAGGGTCATTTTTGGTATGTTGTGGATCTGCCTTTCTCCTACCTTCCTCATTTGTTTGTCGTTCTATTTACCGGACACCCTGTATAGCGGAACAATGTAAAAAAAGGTCAGCTGATCATGCTTGCAAAAAGCAAATTCTTTTTGGGCGGTTGTGGTTCTGGTTGGCCTAGAGTGAATTTGGAAAAATTTGAATGGAAATCCTGTCATTTTTATGTCACTTAAGGCCAACCAGAATCACAACCGCTCAAAAAGAATTGGCTTAAGCCTTGGTCCGCGATAGATACTCGTGAGAAATACAGTTTTTTAAATAATACAGAATTTGTGCAGCGGAATCCTGGACACGGTCACTGACAGGTGACTACACTTGTACGAACAGGGTTTAAAGAGGATAAAATAGTTTTAGCCTATTTCTTTTATGGAAAAAAACAAGGTTTTACTATATAAATATATTTAATATCTATTTGATTTAATATTACATGATCATTAATAGGAGAACTATGATTTTAATATTTTCTACGATTTATTAGGGGAAGATGGTTTTTTGGTGACTGCATTCGCACTTGGGCGAGGGAAACCCCTAGAAAACCTCAACCGTCACTGCTCAGATTAATTGTATCAGGTGAAGAAAAATCAAGTCGTTCCACAATTCTGAGTTCATTTGTAGAATTGAAAATCTATAATCCACCAGCATGCCACAGTTATTCACCTAAAAAGAAGTGGCATTGAAGTAACGGTTTCTACGAGGGTCATTTTTTAAGTAAGAACCGTTTTGTATTCGAGTCAGAGAAATTTCATTTATGAATGTAAATTGTATGACAAACTAAAATATGAACATTTTTTTAATACAGTCACCATAAGCATTCATAAGTAAAGTCGTAATGCCAGTTTTTGGTTAATATTGCATCTGAAACCTTTATCCTGTGGTTTTCATGTCGACTATTTCCCTCGTCTTAATTTCTACCAAACACAAACGCGCAATTTTGAATTACCAATGGTTTCTAAATGAAAAAATTGTATGACAGCACCCGCGGCAAAACATGTCACCAAAAATGATTGATTGATAACAAGTAATTATGGTTTCCTAAGACACCAGAAAACGACGCTAAACAATTTCTCCGATTTTATTGTCAATAAATTTTGTAAGCTATGTGTATGCAGAATAGTCTGTTACTCATGAAATAGTCTTGTCCAATACCATTTAGGCATCTAATTTATTCATCTTCGACTCGGATTTTTGTTGCCGGCACTCATGCTTCTTAAAATATTACTTAGCAACGTCTTTTTTTAATTTTTTTCGGAAAAATTAGATGCCCTTATGATAATCCCCCATATTTCTCTCGCCAATCGAAACCACATGTGTTGAAACAAATATCTTTATTGTAAGCGTTTCTGTGACAAATGTGGCATCCTTCAGTACAATGACTTTGACGATATATTTTATTTATATGTCTTCCAGATGACATATGTATATTTTCTTCTCATTTCCATATCCCTATACAGTGTGTTACTACAATAGTGTGAAAGGTCCTGTAAAATGCTGAGATTTTTAGATGGCACCCCGCATAACCAGCTTTGCCCAAGACAGCGATAAGCGAGCATGAGTTTTGGTAAGAATATACTTTAGCGCATAAAGACCGAAATTTTTCTTGAAAAAAATTGAAGACATCAATAGAAATGATCATTTTTTAAGCAAAATGAATGTGAAACTATAAAAATTGTTCTTTTTTTGCAACAAAGGTTGAAACCTAGCCGTGTAATAAGCTAACATAACAGCTCAAAATACATATCGTAAATGGTAGTATTTACTTGGTAAACTGTGTAGAGGTGTTGCGTTATGATTTTTCAATGTCTTCTTGAACTCCCTTAACGATTTTTTCGCGAATCTTCAATTAGATCAAAGTTTTTGCGTTTATAAGAAATGTTTGAAAGTAGGAAATAATTCTATGTGGCACTTCTCCAACCAAACTTATGGATCATGACTTTTTTACAGCGACGTAGTGAGAGGCTAGCCAAGTCTGAGATTGAACGGTCGCGCTACAGGATGTGGAATTGGTTCTTACTTTAAAAACGCCCCTCGTAGTTCACTGACATCTTTCTGATAAGTTGTTAGAAAAATAAAATTTGGTGAAAGCTTCCTTTTATGGCGCCGCTGCTTTTTGCAAAATGTTTCAGAAGTTATTTTTCCTGATAAGATTGACTTGTCGGGTAAGACGTCAATGAAACATGAAGAATAAATAACTCCAAGATTATGTAAAAATACCTGTTCACTATTTCGATTATCAATTCAATTGATATTCATATAACTTTTTGCCTCATCGTGTTAGTTTCCCAAACATGTCCCTTAATTTCTTCTTAGTTTCTTCAAAAGTTGTATGAAAATCGTGAACATTTTTAGAAGCTTCTGCTTGGAACCTGGCTGTATTTCGTAAAACTTCATCAATATATTAACAGTAGACCATACTATTATCCACAGATTTATCTACAAAGAGAGCTCAAATAAGTATTCTCATTTAAATAACACCTCTGCTTATTTTGAAACATCGAATAGGTTGACCCTGTACTTATTTACATATTTAAGTTTATTGAGTGGTCTTCTTAGGGTAAGTTTAGAAAATACATCTCTTGGGCACGTTTCCAAGATCCATAACAGTTCTATCTATACTTCAGTGGTTCGTGAAGTTAAAAACCAACCTTCTTGATGCAATACTCTCGAATGCTTACCCTGTAAAAATTTTGTTGTTCATTTGACTGCTCTTTTCATGTATTTCAGCATACTATAAATCGGGCCTTTAATCATTCTTAACATGTTCCTATTCAACCTCTATCTTTACCCGACTCGTGAATGCCCAATAAAACATTCATCCAGCTATCCAGGCAGAACATTTTTTAGAACAGTTGCATATACAAATCACTATCATGAATATTCATCACGCTCGGGAGTGTCTATAATGTATGCCATTCCTGAAATTGGGGATGTCCCCTTTCCAAAGCTTGACAAACATATTTGTGCTATGATTCTGAAAGAAAACCTGAAAGTTTTTGAACAGCAGTTCTGTAAAATTCGTAAAAATAAGAAATGTGCAATCACATTTTAGCTAAAAATAGACATTTTCGTAAAATATGTACCTAATAGAAATAGTAAATAGCAAATGTGCGCTAAAATTAAAATTATAATATATCATTATCATCAATGTTTATCATTGTTCTTCACCATTCCTGAAATACGGAATGTTCTTCTTACCTAAAAGCTGAAACAAGCTAAGAAAAACACGCGCTACGATTCTAAAGCATAAATAATCATAGACAACAGACCTGTGAAATATGTAAAAATAAGAATTGTGGTAACCCATTTTGCTTGTAAATATATTTTCTCAATAAATAAAGGTGTTTTATCCAGCTGTCGATAGTAAATCGAAAATAGTGAATACCAAATATATAGTTAAAAAAAACATATAATAATATAGTTTTGAGGGCCATCGCAGTGAGTACCAAAGTTTTGTAAACCACCTTGGATGCTGGGGCATCTTGCCTCATACCTGTAATGATCTACTACTAGCCCTTCTACCACTAAGTATTACCAGAACTACTGCTACTGCTACTACTACTACTACTACTACTACTACCACTACTACCTCCTTATTTGGTTACCTAGCATCTTACTTATGAAACTTGAACTTTTCACACATCTCTCCGAAAATGATTAACCATGAAACGTATCTTCACACATTGCTTGTAAAAAGTAA